GGTTAGTACGTTCGACGCCATCTTGTGCTGCCCAACCTCGGCCCAAAGCTTCGGCCCTCATGTCCATATATTGTTCCTTGGAAATGCGCGTGCGCTTGAGACTCTCGAGGAGATGCCATGCCTCCCACTCTTCACCTGTGTAAGCGTCCTTGGTTCGCTCAAGTCGATCTTCCACGTGGAGTCTCCCAGCGCGAGTGCAGATGAAGTCGGGCGTTTCATCATCCTTGAATATCCCCAGCTTTCTTTGCTCTTCCCAAGCTTTATAGTAGTCCGGCCCGAGGCGTGCTGCCGTCGCGGTATAGCGGTCCAGACACCAGTACTCGAAGCCAAGATACTCAATCCAAGTTGTCAATTGATCCTGCTGCTTCCAATCTTCCGCTAAACGGAACGGTCGAGTGAAGCCATGTCGGGCCAGACGTGCCATAAGTGCTCTCTCGTAATCGGAGAAACCCTCACATCCACTCTCCCGCTGGTGTTTCCGCTGCCAGTTACGCTTTCTTTGCATGAGATCCCACGTCCCGCCGGGCCTATTCAATTCGACTGGGTCATCAACAAACCGTTCATCTGGGCACTTTTTATACATTGACCAAAAGCGTTTTTCTGTCTGGACATGAGCCCGAAACCTCTCGGTTTCAACTTCGACTGTATCAACAATCCCTCTGTTATCAAGTTGCCAGTTTCGGAAACGTTTCCACCTACGCCATTGTCTTGCGATTACGTGATAATGGCTGGTATCATCCAATTCTATCAGACAAATGTTTCGAGACGGACGTATATAGGGCTTCAGCAGCTTTTCATGCGCGCGAGGATTTCGTGATATGGGCATCAGAAGATCGATCGAGTACAGTGGGCGGCCTCCATGATTGACAAGGTGATCATATGCTGCTATCTCTGCTTTCCTAAAATTATGCCACGGCGAATAGGGTGCAGTTCTGTTTTCATCACTCTCACATGTCCATTCTCGTCGGGAAGAAACTTTTCCATCCGCCACATCCTGTAAGAGCAAATCAAGCTTATCAAGGTCAAGTGGACGAGATTTGGCTGATGGGTCTTCAAGCATTGCAGGTGCCGGCGATGGCGGCGTTCTAGGCAGCTATTAGTGGACCGGATTTCAACAGGAAAAAAAAAGGAAAAAAAAAAAGGTCAGGCGCAAACATACACAAGTTTCCACCCAATGCGAAATCGATCTTGTAAAGACAACGAATGCCAGTCCACGATGGGGTTTGCAACCGGATTAGCGGCTTCTTTATGCATCTTCGAGAACTCCCTGAACTGTGCATCGCTCATGCGGAATACTTCGGCAGCCGTCTTGGTGGGTAACGGCGACATGTTGCCGTGGTCCCTAGGGGATAGATCAGCTGGAGACATTTTATGCGGCCAAAAGCAAAAAGGCACCCAAGTCACAAAGATATGATGATAATGATGATGATGGATTAGAATGTTTGCAGAGTCGAGTTGTCTTGTCGAGCGTGAGCGCGAGCGCCCAAGATAACGCTCTTTCTTTCTTCACGCACAACGGGTGGCCCGTGGGCCTGTAGCAGCCACAGCCGCGCCTAATGTGACAATGGTTAGCTCGCCTGCATGATTTGACGCACTTGGACGGTGGCTTGACAGTGGCTTGACGGTGGCGGATGGCGTGTGACCAATGAGGCTTGGCGTCAGGGGTTTCGCGGATAACTGTTGGTGGTTCAGCTAAGCCCAAAATAGAAAAGATCCACACCGCTAGTAGCTTAGTAAGCAACAACTACCATGTCAACTACCATGGCAACTACCAACCACCACCCAATCCCAATCCCAATCCCAAGCCAAGCCCAAACCAACCATCAAACCCCCAACATCCAACTTACTGGTCTCCCAGCGCGAGAGCTGCTTCGCCAAGGATCATCGAGTGGCTTACCGGGCTTGCCCCTCCTTGCTCCTTGCTCCTTGCTCACTGCTCACTGCTCACTACTCACTGCTCACTGCTCACTGCTCACTGCTCATGGCTTGCGCGACCGCGCACTTGCATCCGCGCAGCCTGATACATATACCGTCTTCGAAGAGAACAAACATGCATGCCGCGCGTGTTCAATGGCGACCGCCACATAGCCGCCTGGCCGGCTTTGCAGGAGAGATTGGCTGAGCGTCGACGAGGATGTATGTATGTACTTGCTTGCTCATGATAGCACAGCCCGCATAGTCCCCCTCAACCTTTGCCCATCGTTTCTCTCGCACTCAATTCCAGGTCGAGCCCTAAAAGTCGACTGCCGCCTCGAATCAACGCCCGCTTGGGCGCATGCGTCGCAACACTTTTCGTTAGACTCCAACGACAACATGGACGACGAAGACCTCATTGCTCATGTATACCTCATCTCCCCCGGTGTTGGTGACAACGGTGGTAATGACAATAGTGCAGAGAAGTTGATCAAAGGCTAGTCGTTACTATGTACCACCATCCAAAGAAAAACCTGGAAAAGAAGTTTGCTCTAGACGTGACGACGATGTGGCCTCCAAAGCCAAAGCCTTCGACGGGCCACGGAACGGAGATGTCGCCAGCTTGAATCGCCAACTCTGCCTTGAGATCAACTTCAATAAGGTTCCCAGATCTAAGTCTGGGGTTACGTTTGGTTCCAGCAAAACACGCCCCGTAATCCAACGAGTCGAGGTCGAAGCGGCGGATCGCCGAAACGGACCCCGAGACCCCTGGTGCGAAGCGACAAGGTTGCGTGTCGATGCCATAGGTAGGTATTTGTCCGGAGTTTAAGTTGCGTGCTCATTCTGGCACGATCATCTTTCCTTGGCTCCCCCCCCCCAATGTATTTATATTGTTTTTTTTCTTACTCTTCTCTTGTACTATTAGCTTACTTTCATGTACTGTATATGTGCACATCTACGGTTGGTGCGTTAAGTGGGTAGATTCTCATTCCATAGCTTGTGCAATAGACGCATGGAAATGCCTTGCATGAGAAGACGGTATGACGCTGGCGTAGAATGTAGTCCTTGTGTACATTTTGCCAGCCTTTCTCGATCCACTTGGGACGGTTTCGTCCGCAGGTCGTCCGCGCGTTTGAGAGCGCGTGGCGTGCATCTTTCGCATCGCAATGCAGAGAGCTCCCATGAGGATTTGCGGTGCACCATGATGAGAAGATGACATGGCCGTGGCGTTGGACCTCAACCACCCCTGCCTCTGCCGCGGCCCCTCCCTCTGCCTCGCCCCCCGCGACCACCTTTCCTGCCCCCGCGACCACCGTTTCTGTGGTCGAACCTGTCAAAGAGGGGTTCCTCGCCAAAGGCCGCCTCGCCGAATCGCATAAAGTTGACGAGCCCCCCGTCCACCACCGCCACGAGCACGTTTCTGTGCCCGTGCTTGAGCCGCTGGTACAGCCTCCCGGGGCCCTGCCACGCCGGATCGGGGGCCGCCAGGGGCGTGGATTCGAGCAGCGCCTCGATCTGCTCGAGGGTGGGCACGCTCGAGTCGGCCGTGTCGCAGACGGCGATGCGGAAATCGGGCGGGGGCGGGTTCTTCTTGGAGAAGGGCGCGCCGGTGCCCTTCCAGACGTGGTAGTGCACGCGGAAGGGCTCCTCGACTTGCTGCAGCGCGGGCGCGGCTGATGGGCTGTGCCGTGGCAGGAGCGCGAGCTGTTGGTAGATGGGGCGGTATGCTCGGTAGAGGCCCGGCGACACGAGAGGGCCGAAGGGTCTAGGTTGGAGCGGCCGGCGCGGCCAGGAGATGATGGAGAAGAGCCATTCCCACAGCGGCGTGGACGGTGTCGGGGAGTCGGCGTCTCGAGACGGACGAGGGCTGTTGGACGGCGCGCGCAGGACGTGGAAGCCGGCACGTTTGAGGTGCGTGTACACCTGGAACTTGGCCAGCGTTGTCTTGCCGCGCTCGCCTTCGTAGCCGACGAGGAAGGAGTAGGCCGCCTCCAGGCTGAGCGGCAGTCCGGCGTCATAGTCATCGGGACCGAAAGCGGTGCGTCTCGGGACGCCGTCGGTGACTCTGGGCAGTAGCTCGTCGAACGGCTTGTCCGGCCACCATATGTCCACGGTGCCCCGTTCGATCAGGTACAGAGCCTCCTCGGGTAGAAGCCATAATCGCCCGACGCCGAGCTGGTCCTTGCTGCCCGAGACGGCTCGGCCGATATCCCGCATCCAGTTTCCGCGCTCGTGCTCCATGACGACAACGCGGTCTTGCAGCAGGGCGTCGTCCGACGTGCCAGCCAGGGAATTTGTGAGCCACCAGTCGGGGAAGTACCAGGCCCGAAGCCATGTTTCCGGTCTGTGCACTCTCGTGTAGCTGAGAACCTCTTCCAGAGCGGTGCGACTTGCCTCGAGGGTATTGTCCTGGGCTTGGGTCCCATGAGATTCAAAGTCCTTCTCGCCCTTGCGGATGACTTTGCTGGAAACGCCCTTCTTGTTGAACATGGAAGCGAAGAGCTTGTAGTCAGGGACGCCGTCCTCTAGGGCCTCTTCCGCGCTTGGTCCGCCGTGCTGTGCTTCCGAACTCGGGGCTGCGTCGCCGCCGATGGGATTGTCGTCGTCGTCAAAGGGCATGATGACGCTGCTCACCCGTAGCAAGAAACTCGATGAATTGGGAGGCCAGTACTCGAGAAAAAAATGGCGCCGAGTGCGACGGCGTAGCTTGCCTTGAAGAGGACAAGCTATTGGTGAGATCTTCAAGAGCACGAGTTTTTTTTTCCTCTCCCACGTTGGGATGCCCAACCTTTGACAGTCAGCGTTGTTGTCTCGAGTGACGCAATGCGCCTCTGTTCAGCAGCCGTGCGACGCCGCGCATGGAGCCAACGAGATTGCTGATGACTGTGGTGGTGTTTTCGGGGCGAGCACTTCTTCCAACATGAAGGTTGAGATAAACTTCCAGTGGAGACATGGAGGTGGTGGAGTGGATCCTCGCTCAATCGGCCGTCTGTTTCATGGATTCGACAGGGGTTAGCTGGTACGGTGACAATACAAAAGAAATATAGTTTGTTGTTTGTGCTGTTTTTGATAGTCACCTGACGTACGCGAGTCTGGCCGAGTGGTTAAGGCGTTGTGTTTAGGTCCTCCACGTGGGGAAAACGCTTAAACCGCAATGGGCATCGCCCGCGTAGGTTCGATCCCTACGGCTCGCATGTCTCCTTCTTTTTTGTCTATTCTTTTTAATTTAGCTTAGGCCTAATGCAAGAACCAGAGTAGTACAGAGACGGGCACGCGGAAGGAGAAGAAGGGTTGGATATCCAGTCGAAAAATGACAATTCAGTTCCAAGTCGTCCGCGATGCGACCGTCATCGCAGTGGCTGTGGCTCGTGTACATACAATGTATCTACAAATGCATGTCATGCGTGTGAACAAGCCACGGCCAAGTTTGCGCGTCGAATTCTGACGACGCCGCATCGCATACGCGCCATCGGAGCTTGGAACTTCCTGCGGAGCCTTTGGTTGCTTCCAGGCCAGAGAATCGCGCTCAGTGGCCATCCGTCCACGACGCGAGCGTGTTGCGTTGATTGTCGGCAATTTCTGCTCGACGGGCGAATGCCGGGTGCCGTGTGACATGTGCAGGTCGCGGGTTGCATGTCGCATCGTGCCGTGCAGCTGCATTTTGGTAGTCTCATGCTCGAGGCTTGGTGATTCGTCTGGAGTTGTCGCTGCTTTGGCTGGTCGTGCTGCCTGCCGTCCTGGACTCCCGCCTCCTGCCTCCTCCCTCGTGCCTGCCTGCCTGCCTGCCTGCCGTGCATTCTCCAGACGCTCCACTTGGTGACCCACTCTGACTGCAACAAGTACCAGGTATCTGCTTGAGGTACCTCCCACTACCGGGTACCTACTTAGGTACCTAGGTACTTTACCCATGATCGCAGCCCATCACCGTATGAGCCGCCCTTCCACAACCAACTTGTGGTGTCGTCAGCGAGGCGGACCCGAAGCTCGACCTCGACCTCAACCTCAACCTCAACCGCAACCTCAACCTCGACCGGCACAGAGACCGAGGCAGAGACACGGACAGTCACAGGGACAGTCCCATCGACTTAAACCCAACTCCGACAGCTGCCCCTTGCCGTCCTCCATATGACGATTTCGGCCACCGTTGACGGTGCCAGACCCCTCCATAAACAAACATCACCGCCGCCTGCCCCTGCCCTCGTCGTCACCACCAACTTCGTCGTGCTGGCGGAACCCACAACACCACCATGGCCTCAGCGCCAGCCAACGTGAGGGTTTCTGGGCCGCCAAACAGCGCGTTTCTCGTGGGCTATCCCGGCATCTCGGCGACGCTGGTACGTACTGCTTTTATGTTCTCCCATGGCAACGTCCCTCGACGCCAAATCGAACAAAAAAATTAAATTAATAAAACAAAACAAAAACAAATAAAAAAAAACTCTTCTACCACAAGCGCGTTGGCTCGATGAACTTGACTGTGCTGACGTCCCATCGTCATCAGCCTCGAATCGAGGGCAAGGTCGAAATTCGGCCTGGCCAAGGCTTTTCAATGCCCGTACCAGTGTCACTCGTCCGGATATGCCTGCAAAGGCGAGAAACGATTCATCCCGATGCCGATAGTCTGACGAAGCGCCATCTAGGTACCCCCCGGAAGGAGGCCAAGGAAGTCGTGGGCAAAGAAGTTCTGCTCTTCCGCTGCGCCACGGGAAAGGAAGCCGAAAGCGTCATTGCCATGGATCTACCGTTTGTTCTGTTCATCCCGTTTGGGCGCGGCGGAGAGGAGTCGAATCGCAGAATACCACCGGCGTCGCTACAGCTTCCGAGCAGGACGGCCGAGACCTTGTACGAACTCGTCGTCACGGTACAACAAGGCCATAGCTGCCAATACAAACACAGTTTCCCCATTCCCCTGCAGCGCTACGACACACTCTCCACGTTTGGCATGTACAACAAGCCCGAGACCAAGCTCATTGCCTCGGACCACCTCATCCACCTCGGAATCAATCTGCCACGATGGAGCTATGGACCGGGAGATCCGATTACCATGTACATCAAACTCTCGCCGAACCCCGACTGGATTCGCAAGGCAAAACGGGTCAGCATAGAAAAGATTCACCTGACGATAGAGGAAGAAATCACATACAATCCCGAGGGAGACGAGCCGTTGAGAAAAATCAACAAGCTGTCGAAGCAAGTGCAGGTGGTCAAGATGAAGATTCCGGAAGCTGGCTATGCCACCAACATTGGACTCGTCTTTCCCTTTAAAGACTTGAGAGACGCAGACGGTATCGTGAAGAGGGGCAAACCAGCCTTTCCGCTGTACCAGGTTTCGTCGTTTACTACCACGTCGTCGCTCTACAAGATTGAATTTTACCTGAATGTCAAGGTAGGTTTCTTTTTTTTTTTTTTTTTTTTTTTTTTTTTTTTTTTTTTTTTTTTTTTTTTTTCTCCCTTGGTTATCGCCGTCCAACATCAACTTGTTGGCTTCGAGGTGAAACTTGGTTGACACTCCGACACCAGGTTCAACTCAGTGGTGCTCGCGATGTCAACTTGAGACAACCCATTGTAATCTGTCCGCTGGATCAGCAAGCCTGCAAGGAAGAAATGGACGCCATTGAGCAAGCGGCCAAGGACGCGTCTTCCGTCGATCCGAACAATCCCATGCTGCCGGCCAGGACCATCATTCTGGCCAGCGACCGAGACTCGTTACGCGCTCTCGGACTGTGCATTGTGGGAGGCCAGAAAAAGCCATTTATAGATTAACGTGGTCGGAGAGAATCTCATATATTAATTCTACCAATTCTACCGGGTCGCACCGACTCGTCATGGCCGCGGAGACTCCGTACCAGGGACCAGGTCTTCCGCATGTCTTCCGCCGTCGACACAAAGGACGCTTGAGCCGAATGACCGAAACAACCAGGACTTGGTCTCGTTGGTCCTCGCGGGCTCTCGGAAGGAGAACCACCATGGCATAGCCGAATGAGCAAGCCAAGAGGAGTCTTTGGAAGGGGGCCACGAAAGAGGGAAAAAAAAAAGAAGAGAAAAGGAAAACTACGGAAATTCCCAAGGTAAGGAGGGTTACCTCCGCGAGACAAGGCGTCATCATGTTTTGTGTTACCATTTTTAATGTGACTTAGCGAACGGCGGGATGCGGCTTTGTGTTTGAAATTCTTTGGCAAGGCACTAGGGGATGGCGTTTATGTAGGGGTGATGGCCACATGTATATGCAGTGATGAATTTTTCTTTCTTTCTTTCTTTTTCTTCTTTTATTTTCTTCTTTTGTGTCTTTTTAAAGATGCGGAACCTGGGGAACATGAAGAGCGGGAGGTGATTCGGGGCGCAATGGGGTTCGACGAGGCATTTGCGCTAGATGGCAACATGTTATTGGGAGCTTGAGATGTTTTGGGTGGTGCCCAGTGGCTGGAACATGGCAGTTCACGATTCGTCAAGGACGACGCGTTGGTTGACATGGCAATGCAGAGGATGGTTTACGCATCGGGCACGGTCCTCGCGCTGTTTCATGTTGTGTTGTTGGTTCATGGAGAGTCTGGTGTGGGGGCTGGCCCGTGGAGAATGGCCCGTGCGCGACGCCACACACTGTGCACAACAGAGCAAGTGGGCCACAGTGTTGGTTGTTGTCCCGACGGGTTCCTTGCAGCGATGCGGATGACAAACCAGAAATGAATGGAGCAGGTCCGGCCAGCCCGTCTGCCTGCACCCGGCATGTCTCGTGGATCGTGGATCGTGGACCGCGGACCGTCGAGCAAAGTCCCGTCTCCAACCGTCCCTCGAGCAACACACGGAACCCGACCGAGACGTTCAACACCCCCCTTCCACGACGACTCTCCTTTGCTGTCGCGGCTGCCTTGACCCCTCGGTTCGGTCGTCATGCGGCTCGCGTGTCTGGTGCTTGCGCTTGGGGGGCTTGCCGGCGCGCATGGAAGTCATGGGCAGAAGCCGATAATTAGCGACGATGCGACGTGGATGCAGAAGCACATGGCCGGTCCGTCTACCCCGGAAAGAAACCAAAACGAATCAAGGTTCCCCCTTTTTTTTAAAAAAAAAAAAAAAAAGAAAAGAAAAGAAAAAGCCCACACGATCCTCGCAACGTACTAACCCCCCGCCAAAAGAGGAACACCACATCGACGCCTTCGACACAGACTCCTTCTTCGACCTCCACGACTACGACTCGGACGGATCGTGGCAGGCCGACGAGATGATGCGCACGTACGGCCTCATGCACCCGTCCAACAAGGACTTGTCCCCCGACCGGAAGCACGAGCTCCTGCAGCAGCTCCTCCGGCTTCTCGACGCCGACGGCGACGGCGTCGTCTCGCGCGCCGAGTTCGCCGACCTCATGGCCCGCGGCGGGACGCTGCCCGACCTGGGCACCGGGCCGGGCCACCACGGCGACGACGAGTACGAGTACGAGATCCACCACTGGGAAAAGTACCATGACGAGAACACGCGGCTCGAGGACCTGACTCACCCCGAGGACGTGGAGCACTTCCGCCACCACGAGGAGATGGAGAGGCTGGCTGAGGAGCAGGAGCGGAGGGATCGCCTGACCGTCGTGGAGGAGAATATTCCGGCCAAGTTTAGGAGGACGTAGGTTCGGAGGGGGAGTTCGTTGGACGGGATTTTTTCTTAGTGGAAAGGGATTTTTTTTTTGATATTTTTTTTCTGTCTTGTCTTTTTTTTTATTATTTTTTTGTCTTGGTTTGGCGGGGAAATGATGTGTGGGATATGGGACGTTGGATCATGACGACCAACAGTGACGGTGAAACGGAACGAAATGTAACGAAACGGAACGCGGGGAAAATAGGGAAAGCGGGTTGCTTGCGGCTTCTTGCAGCGGGACATGAACAGGTACATGACAGCGTGCATACCTAAGTACTCACTTGCAATATACATGGATATGCGCGCAGAGGTCCAACTCTTTTACAGTAGCACCATCTAGGTGCATCAATTCGAAACACGGACGTCGAATACGCAGTGCCACACCCCCGGCGCATACGTCTTGACCTTCTCGACCCTCTCGACCCGAATGCTCCTGCCCAGCCCTTGCTCCTCCGGATGACGCGCCAGAAGCCTCTCGATCTCGTCCCTCCGGGTGCCAATGTCCGACTCGCCCACGTTCTCGTGCAGGTGCAGCCAAGCCTGCTGCTGGCCCTGCTGCCCGACCATGTCGGCGGCG